ATAAATAAAGATTCTTGTCACATTTTTTCTCAGCTTAGTTTTATTGTTATATTACAGTCTTGTAGCTCAAAGGATAAGTAGGTGGATTAGCAGATGCTACTGTATGATTGAAAAGAAAAGAAATAGCAAAGAAATCCTAAATAAATAACAAACAAGTGAATCAACCGCAAAAATCTCTATGATTAATGTGTTTTTATTTTGACAATGTTTTTTTTTTATAATAAAAAATTGACATTCACCTTTAAATTCAACATTAGTTTCTTCGAGTCTTTTGTCTTATCCATGCATTTTTTACATGTGTATAGAACACTAGAGCCGATATATAAGCTGAAATAAAATTCTGTTTACGGTCTTCCTTCTAATAATATTCATCCTCAAGCTCATCAATATCATAGACACCACCTCCGCCACAATTGTTGAATTCACAATTCTTTCCATGAAGTGCACAATCCAACACCATCTTAGGCATGTTTGGTTTAACTTATGAGAGCTTTTATTTTTTGAATATTGTTATAAGTGATAAGTTTAAATTTTTATTAGAGAAAAAATTTAAAAATTATTTTTAGAGATAAAAAAAAAAGTGAAAAGTGAGCAAAAAAAAAATTTATAAAAAGTTTGAATTTGAAATTTTTAAACTTTTAAATTTTTAAACTTTTACTATTTAAGATCTTTTTAATATTAAAAAGAAATTTAAAATGTAAGTTTTTTAAAAAAAATTTAAATTTATAAAACATGAATAACATAAAAAAAATTAAAACTCCTAAAAACTCAACCAAACATGCCTCGGCCAAAGACGTGGAAGATTATATTAAGATAAGCGTCTCCTAGTAGACGTCTAGACGTTTTTGGTAATGTTTCACGCTTATGTTTGAACTAGCTAGACAAACCTCCTTTGCGGGCTGTGGACCCAAATGGTAGAGAAATTACAATCTTGAAAAAAAAATAGGAATTGTTGAATTCACAATTCTTTCCATCAAGTGCACAATCCGATACCATCCTAGCCGAAGACGTGGAAGACTATATTAAGGTAAGCGTCTCCTAGACGTCTAGACGTTTTTCGTAATGTTTCACGCTTATGTTTGAACTAGCTAGACAAACCTCCTTTGCGGGCTGTGGACCCAAATAGTAGAGAAATTACAATCTTGAAAAAAAATAGGAAGAGAAACAAAACAAATAGTTTTGCTTTTTTGGTAAATGAAATATATTTTAAACAAATAGTTTAAAATATATATCTTGACATTATAAGAACAAACACTTGAAAAGAAATAAAACTGTTATGGTATTAACAAAGGAGGAACACTAAATCAGACACCTGAAGCTATCCAACAATTACTTGATCTATGATTCTATCAACCACATGTCAAGAATAAATGCAAGATTTACTACACAGTAAAATTAAGGAATTTTGTTCATAATTTACATAATAATTAATAATTAAATGAATGAAATCAGACCAGGTAAAAGAAAAGGTCATTACCAAATTATTTTCTTCAAGCAAAGGAAAAACAATTAATAGTATATAAAGATATTAAACTGGAAAACTTCCAAGAAATATCATCATCCTTAGCAAATCACTAGCTGAACAACCCCACGTTACGAGGTGTAGTGGATGGCCCACTTGTTTGCAATTATCGAATAAGACTCATATTATCATGCAACTTATTCATAGGACTAACTCTTTCACGAACGAAAGGTAGGGAGAAATGAAACTATACAAAACCAAGTTCAATTAGATTAAAATAATAACATTAATGCCAACCAAACGGAATTAAGAGTCATGGATCAATGCACCGTCACGTAGAGCAGAAAAAGCATCAAATCTTTGTTAGTCAATATGATAAAATGAGCACAGAAAGACAAAGAAAGTAAAAAAAAGGGAAGCTAATTTTTGTGAAATTTGTGTGGGCAAGAAAGATGACGCGTAGTTTCTCCAGTAGCTGGGGTTTCAAGACAAATAGCACAAGCTTCTTCAAAATCATCAGTCTGCATAGCAAAGAAAATTAGAAAGTACAAAAAATTAGCAAATAAATCGACACACCCAACTCACATATTTATTCTCAAGGAGGAAACTTGAAAAGAAGTATATGTAGATTGTTTTGCTCTCTTTATCCAGACATGTACCTGCACTAATTATTGTGGTAAACTATCTATCTGGTGAACAAATGCACCACCATGTTGATGATTGTTCTCATCTAGTGTCAATAACATTTCATAATCATTTCTGTAAGAAAGCAAAGAGTAAGAAAGAAAAACTTACATTTATTTGCACGGTTAACCCTTTCAATTATATTGGAAATAGTATGATTGAAAACAGCATATGAAGAGCTTGTTAGAAGGAGATGCTAAAAGGATGGATTACAATAAGGTAGATTTTAGACATAACAAAACTATGTGAAATTCTCATATGGCTGTAACAACTATTCAGGCCAATAAAAAATAATATCCTCTTTATTTTGCAATCTTATTTTATGTTTAACCTAACTGCCACAGAAGAGGGATACATCATGGAAGCAGCTCCAATTCAGATCTGCACAGAGTTACTGCTTTTGGTGTTTTTGTGGGATACACCTATAGCAATTATGTATACAAATCTCCAAGCATTTGAGATGGGGAATTTGCATTTAGAATGCTAAGAGTACTGGACACTAACAAACACACAAACTATTTCCCTGTATGTAGAGCTAGAATAAAGATATCAGATATACCAAGGAGGATGAGGAAGAGGAAGAGTGTGCACCCATATTCCAGCAGATCAAAGCAAGGTTGTGGCACCTAGCTCACTTGCTGTAGCCAGATTAGCACCATGCTCAAGAAGGTACTCCATGAAGCAAGTAAAAGGAGTCAACCTTAAATTTCACGAGCAATTTTGAATATGAGGGTTGAAAGAAATACATGTATGATAGAAAACTTTAGATGAAAGTACATTTACCCACCAATTCAAGTGCTACATGTGAAGAAAATTCATGCAAACTACGTAAGATGAAATGTAAAAAGGTAACAAACAAAGAAAAACCAGGAATATCATGAAAACTGTTGTTAAACTTGTACAAAGAAAATTTCAACGTGTCTAAGGCAATTGTCAGATGCATACATATTTGTCTTAACCATCATAAAAGGTAGGAAAGGGAGAAGAGTCCTTCCATGCCACCACCTGAAGGAGCTTCTATAGTAGCAACATCATCTCCAATTGCACTTTATAATTCCTTTGATTACATGCAAAAATCAAATTAGATTCTGTAATATTCAGGCATATAAAATCCTGAAAATTTTTTAAATGGTCATGCTTGTAGTGCACGATGCAGACACCAAGCACTTCCAGTCTTCTAATTTGCAGTAAAGCGTATCAATCTTTAGAACAAATGTTCTCATGCAATTAAGCATCATGTAATTTTGAAATAAAACCATCTACAACTTTCACAGACAAAAGGGATGGAAAAGAGAATAATAAAAGAAAAGAAAGGTAAAAGTGACAACCTTTCTCCAGCCTCCCTTCAAAGTATGGTGCTCAAAACACTTCTCATTAAAATCTTTCTACATTACACAATCCAAAAGCATTACAAACAACCCATTTCATTCCATATTCTCTCCCTCTTAAGATCACAACCAAAGCAAGCATCACTGAAGGCAACACACAACCTATTTAAGATGAATAAAGAAGCTATTCAGATCTAACATAGCTTAACAAAACACAAAAAGCCCTGGCAAACAACATAGATCATGTGGTTTTCAAAAAGAATAAATATAAAATCTCACACCTAAAGCTTCTTGATCTTAAACTGACAAACAAAACAAAAGATGAAGGCAAGAACACTCCAGAAAAGGTAAAAATATAAACTAAACAAAACAAAATCTACACAAAGAACCAAATGTTACAAAAGATTAATAGCATTTCCATTGCAACAGAAAATAGAAGATATAAGAGTATTAAATGGTTACCAAACAACCTGCAACAATAAAGCGTAAGAAAAAAAGAATCAAAAACCAAAAAAGCCAAAACAAAACAAAAAAAGATACGAAGCCAAGAACAAATTGTAATTCTAGAGAAGGCAACAACACATACAAAGAGAAACCCATGAGAAATTGAAAGAGAAATCACCTTAACCCACAGAACAAAAATTTCCATCTAGAACCATCCCCACTGCAGACAGCATAATCAGAAACACAAGTAAAAGAAACAGCAAATCATAACCAAATGAATTTCATAACCTGTTATTACTAGCACCATCAAATCCACAAGCCAAAGTCCACACAAAAGAAATTATATTTAATTTATTAAATCCCAAGGCCTTGGAGGTGGCACGGAATCTCGGTTTTGACGGGATGGATCTCGATTGGGAATTTCCGGAGAACCCGAAGCAAATGCTAAACTTGAGCATACTATTCAACGAATGGCAGGAAGCAATCAAGGGAGAGGCTAAGGCTACCCACCGCGCTCCTCTTCTGCTCACGGCGGCGGTGTATTTCTCCGTCGACTTCTTCCTATCCGACGTCGAGCGTTCGTACCCTGTCCAGTCCTTTCTCCGTCGACTTCTTCCTATCCGACTTCTTCCTATTTGGATCAACGCAATGTGCTTTGACTTTCACGGAAGTTGGGATACTTAAAAAACGGGGGCCCATGCGGCCCTTTGTGACCCAAATAGTAAAATAAGCACGAATTACGGGCCAACTTCATGGGTCAAGGCCGGGATCTATCGTGAGAAGGTGGTTATGGGCCTGCCGTTGTATGGAAGGACTTGGAAACTCAAAGACCCAAATCAGCATAAGATCGGGTCCGATGCCGTCGGCGTGGGCCCAGGGGATGATGGGGTGCTGACATTTGCACAGGTGTAGCATTTTAACAGAAGGACCAACGCCACGGTGGCTTGTGACACGCTGTACGTATCAGCATATTCCTTTGTGGGGACATCCTGGATCGGGTATGATGATGTCCGATCAACAACGATCAAAATGAAATGTGCTCTTGGGCATGGGCTTCGTGGGTACTTCTTTTGGGCCGTCAGCTATGACAGTGAATGGAAGGTCTCTAGTGCAGCTTCAAGAGCTTGGACCCCATAGGGAATCTAAAGATATATTAAAGCAAAATCAAAAAAACTCTTTTATGTTCACACTGTATGTTCATATTTGTTCACACTTATAAATTATATAAATTTTATCTTTTGAATCCTGAACTAGATTGAAACCAGTTCAAAAATACTTTCTTTTCAAAAATTATTATGTTTTTCTTATTTATTTCCCTTTTTATTTTTATTAACTAAAAATAGCCTGCACCATTTTTTACGAAAAAGTCTAACGCCTTGTTTGGATAGAAAATAGTAAAGGGAAGGGAAGGGAGGGGAATGGAGGAAGATAAAAAGAAATGGAGGGGGAGGAAAAGAAAGGGAAGGGAAGAAAATAGAAGGAAATGATTTGTGTTAATTTTGTTTGGATAAATAAAAACGACGAAGGGGAAGGGAAGAGAAGAATTGTATTATTTTATGTTTGGATAATTAAAGTAAAAGGAAGGGAAGGAAGGGAATGATTTAAATTAATTTTAAATTTACAAATTTACCCTTTAAGCTTGTAATGGAGAAGGATAAAATAAAAAAATTAAGGTTAATTTTGTAATTACATTTAACTTAATGTAAACAGCCACTCAAATCTTTCCCAAACCCCCCAAATCGGACGGATTGCAAATCTGCATATTCGAATGGGGTTGGAGGGAGTCCGAATCAGTCCATCTCCCTCCCCCTCTACCTCTTTGAAAACCCAAACAGGAGGAAGGAGACAGCTCTCCCTCACTCCCCCTCCCTTGCCATCCGTCCCCATCCCTTCCCCTCCCTCTCCGTCCGACTCCTTCAATCCAAACAATACCTAAAGCTAATCTTTTCCTCTTCTCCACCACAAACTGAAACCCAATCTTCCTCATTGCTGTCGAATCTCCTTCCTCACCAAAGCCATGGCCGTCGTCGATCTTCATCATCTTCTCTCCTTCATTGCTGCCGAACCCCTTCCTCACCAAAGCCA